TCAATTTTAGTTTCCGTTATCCTTATAATATGATCCCAACATATACTCTATAATCCCTATATAACCCCAATATATACCCTAAAATCTCTATATAACCCCAATATAACCCAGTATGTAGTGGATCAGGGTTTTTGGGTGTTGGTCAGGTTTTGCAGGCCCCGCATAGGTTGTTGATCTCATGTCAGCGATGCCTTCATCAGATGGATCTGGGCTGTCGCCAGAAATCAGTAGACCAAGAGGTCTACAGTCTACATGCGTTTGACTGGAACAATGATTGCTCAGCCGGCATAGAGAAATCAAATCCTTAACCCTGAAGCCCAAAAGCCAGAAACCTCTGAAGCCCCTCCAAAATCTAGGGAGCGCAAAGCTCTAGAATCCAAAGCGTCAAGCCCCAAACCCAGACTGTTGCCTTCGTAGCGCGCACTGGCCTGCAGGACTAAAATAGGATTTGCGGGCTTCTAAATGACCCCCCTAAACCCTAAACCCGCCTGCCATTCCTGCCGCATTCACAGGGTCTGGCCCCCGAGGATATGCCGAGGCGGCTGGGCTGTGTATCTCAGACACCGCAGGGGCTTGTTTTGCAAGAGCTCAGTGTCTGGACTTAGAGGTTTAGGGTTTAGGGCTGAGGTTGGTGCAGCGCAGTGCAGATTTGGGTATGTACTGTTGCACTGTTGAACTCGCGACCGTAATGCTTCGTGGTGGCCTGGAGTGAACCCGTCACTTAACAAATCAAGCCCATGAGCTAATGGGTAGGACGAGAATATTATAGAGGACATATGTATGTAGATGGGTATGACTTCCCAAAACTTGACCTGCTTGCAACTTTTAAGCCATAATTTACCTCTGAGTCAGTGTTTGGTCTCGCCTCGTTTTGTGGAAAGGCGTGGGGGTCTCAACGACCTGTGTCTATATCCGAATCCAAAAGGTCAATGCTAGATCTTCCCGAGCAAGTTTTGTTTTACCAGCATCGCTGATGCTTCTACCGCAAGAGTTTGACTGCTATCATGTTTTTTCATCCACTTCAGGAGCCATGCCGTGCAACCGTTGGTTTTCAAGCCGGCGGTGTATTGATGTTGTACATCGCAGCATTGACCTTGCTCAAACTTCCATGCTTAATCCACTTTTGTGCTCCACTGCTTCAAGCCTTGTGCGCACTCTTCCAGGGGGAAGCAGGCCTACATGGGTAGCGTTCGAGAGTATCGAGAAGTGTGGTGTTGCCTTTGAAATCTCTGGCTGAAAGACCTAGGCAGGGAAGCCCGAGGTATAACCAGGTAATATACCATAATCTCATATGAGTACCACTGTATATCACAAAAAGGGTTTTGTGAAATTCCTACCTAGTCGAAGGACCTTATGAGTTGAAACATTGCAAGCCAGGCTGGTCGTTATCGATTTCCTCAATGACGACCCAAGCTTGTTTCTTCTGGAGGCAAGGTGTAGGGTTGATGGTTTAGGAGGTGTTTGCAGGGCCACGAGGTTAGACAGAGCGACGCCCATCAAAAGAAAGTGTCCAAGTCTCAGAAGAGGGATTGAAAACAAATTTCCCTTCCTTCCCGATGCATGCTCTGTACGTGATCGCTGCCTTACTTACTCAGAGCAGGCGTTTCCCGTCTAGGCGAATATCTAGATTAGCTCGTTATGAATCTTTGTGGAGGGCTCTGCTCAAATTGCCACAGTTCGCCAGCTCGCCCGCTATTCATGTAGTTTACTATCTTGAGGACTTGAAACATGATGGAGTACACATGGCGCAGATCCGCACCAGGATACCCTTTTGGGGCAGATCTGTGGACTCCCTGGGGCCCTACCATGCTTCTACGAGCATGATACGAGCCTTACAGAGCCGTACCTGGCAACTGTCAACCGAAGCTATCCTTAACACTTAACGAGAATTGGTTGATGTGCTATTCTGTCCACCATGGCTCTAGGGGGATCACTTTGCAATATCCTAGGCATCTCACTCAAAATTGATTAGCATAGTCCGGGCCGATCGAAAAAGAGCACGCAGCACCCCCAAAGAGCCGCATGCCCAAAAAGAACTTAGAAAATTCAAGACGAGGTCCTTCATATGAGCTATAGTCTGAACTCCTTAAAGTATATAGGGGATTCTATGGGGAAGTATTGTAGGGGTTATTAAGGGGGATACTAGGAGTTTGGATTATAAACTCATAGGCGGGGGGTGTTGTGGCCTTTGGACTTCGTAAGCTCCGGGCCCTCAACCATCTTCAATTTAGCAGCTTCTACCTGAAATTTCACAGAAGATAATCCAAAAACCGCACCAGGAGTCAAAAAGGCTCTGTGTACGTGCTTTTCTGGTAGGTAGCCTCTAAGGAGGTTCTCTAAATCATCCTATAGAATCCTTAGAACTCGCTTACACCTCCTACATGTCCCCAGTAACCATGTGTAAAACTTCATTTTGAGAAAGCCTATCACGTGCCTTTGCGCAGGGCAGCGCCAGCGATCGCGACAGATTTATCCTCTGCCTGAAGATCTTAAGGCTCTAGCCCCTCAACCCTGAACCCTAAACCCTGAGCCTAAGATCTAAGCCCTGAAACCTAAACCCTACATGGTTTCAATGTTGTACCCCTAGGGTTGCACCCCTGGACAATCCAGGAATGCTTGAAACCCTCGGCTTTACCCCTTTACGCCGCAGATTCAGTTAGGGTTCAGGGTTTAGGGGTTTAGGGTTTAGGGTTTTGCGATTTAGTAAGAGTTTCAGATGTTTGTAAAGGAGCCCATATGAGCTGTAGTCCAAACTCCTTAAAGGGGGCTGTGTAGGGGATTATACAGAGGAGTATGAAGGGGCGGGTTATTCAGGGGGATACTAGGAGTTTTCGTCTATAGCTCATATGCTTTTGTGACCGGATTCGAGGGAGCGATAACCCCACACCTAGGGGTCCTGAGGGATGCAAAAGGAAGGTTTAGGGGTTTAGGGGTTTAGGGTTTAGAGTTGGGGGTTTAGGGTTGGGGGTTCAGGGTTGAGAGTTTAGGATTGATCAAAAACCCCCACTCCCCTAATATCCGATGCTGCCGGTATTTTTCAATATATCACAATCGGAAGATATAATATTGGCGGGGGGGGTTATAATGTTGGGGGTGACGGCTTCCAAACACTCCCCCCAAAAAACACACACGCACAAGAACATAAGACAACTAGGCTCCAGGAGTTTGGCGGTATCTGGATCGTGGCCACTTGAGCTGGCACTTCAATGGGTACCCTAAACCCTAAACCTTGCCACTTTAGGTTGGGAAGGTGTTACTGATGATATTGGAGCAGTCCAGGGGTGGCAAGTGGTTGCAGCTTCAGGGGTGTAGCAGCAACATAAGCCGTAGCTCAGCAGCAGTCGTAACAACAGCAGATCTAGGACCCTTTCATCGACACGAGCATGGAATTTGATCCTTTTCAGGCTTTCGGACTCAATATACGCACGAACCGACAAGCAATGAGACAAAAAAAGCACACGGCGCACCATGTCCTATCACCAGTGCTGTTAAACGCGTGACAAGCACAGAGGTAAGAACGCGCAGAAAGTGCAAGCTCCCAGCCGTCGCCTTCTCTACAGATGTCCATGCAAATGGCTCATGGAATTTCTCGAAAAGGGGGACTTGAGTATTTTAGCTGTCTTCATGATGATGTCCCTCTTCCAGTCACGTCTAAACTGGCAATAACTGGCATCCTACAGTGCACTAGCAAAGCTACACCCTAACCGAAACCTTACCATGCTAGTTCCGGCATCGGCCGTGAGTGCCTAGCAGATAGATGGCCAAGAGAGGTTGAACTTACCACCACATGTATGGGTGGAGAGAGAGGATGAGATTGATGCCTGGTTTATCCTGAGGGCCTTACAGCACCATCCCAAGATCTTGCCTCAAGTCTGACCTCTGGCAGGCTCTACGCTCAAACATTCGGGCGTCGTTTATCCCCGCGGCCGTTTGAGTAGGGTACAAAGCCCTGCCGATGGTGCCTCTTGATTCATGAGTGTTTCTAGTCAGTACCTGGTCTGCGAAGCTCAATGTGGGGAACTCCCAGAGCTTCATCAGCTGGACCTCTGTCGTACACGGCTGGCTGGTGAGAAGGAAACAAAAGGGCGCTCAAGAATGTTAGATCGCCCAAATAGTCCCGTGGCTTCAATTCTTGTTGCAAGCTGTTGATGCTTTCGGTTGCTTCTTTACAAGGCGTGCGCAGGGGAAACAGGGCCAAACTTGAAGGAGCTTCCAAGGTCCTTGCAGGCTCTTCCTGCCGATTCTTCACTGCTTCAGGGGTTTCAGGAGGAAATCGATTGATAACATGTGTGGAATCCTTTGCGTCGGGTGACAATGGACGAAATGGTGCTTGAGGGACTTGAGGGAGAGCGGGGGAGTGGATTCTTGTAAGAATCCACTCTAATAATCCCCATACATACCCCCATCCTATCTTCACTCCCCCACTCCCCCTTAAGCACCAGAAGGGGTGAGGCCTGAAGGTTGAGCTTTGTGCAAGGAGGCAAATTGCTGGAAGCTATGTCCTCTTCACTTGGTACTGTAGTCTCCAGGATTGGAGGTCCGTTTCTAAGGGTGCCTAAAACAGGGACTACGCACGTTGCCTCCAGTGACGGCTGCCGAGGTGTCTATCTTTGTCCACCATGCTTGCACTTACGACCCTTTGCAGCCGCTGGCTTTCAGACAAGGGGTGTAGGGTGTGGAGGGGCCAGGAGCAGGTCACTGCTCTAAGTGCCTCTGGGATGATTTGGATCCTGCTGGTTACTGCGGTGCTTGGAGCTGCTGCAACTGACTCTGGCAACCTCAACGGTTCTTGGGCTGCCAGATGGGTGGTTGCCATCGCTGCAACATTCAGGGTCCCGTCAATCTACATACTCGTACCTGTACACACCAGTCGCCAGTAATTTCCAAAGCACATGCCAATGCTGAATTCCTTCTAGCTTGCTGTCCTGACGGAAGATAACTTATGTAACAATGTAGCGATTTCAGTTTCAGAACGCACTGGACATTAGAGGATTGAAGCGATGCTCTCAGGTGACTACGTGCCGGCCTTACAGCGGATTTCAAAGTTGCCCTCTGGTGTTCCGGAGCAGCACCTTCTGACCACCTGGTAGCAACCGGGAGCAAGGTGTCGGACCCTCATATAGCATTTCTTTTGCATTAACTGTCGCCGCAGCAGCAGCAGCAGCCGCAGCAGGAGCAGTATCAGCAGAAGGGAAAGAGGAGGAGCAGCAGAAGGAGCAGCAGCAACAGCATCATTAGCAGCAGTGGTAGCAGTAGCATGAAAACCGGTCGAAGTCCTACAATGCATTTGTAGAGTCCTTGGCGTTTAGTGCGGAACCTTTTCAAGGTGCTTTCTCAGACTCCTGGCGGAAAGGAGACGCAGAAGCGATTTCCTACCCACTTTCAAGACTACCCTGGGAAGCCTTCTTTCTTCGACGTCTACAGCCCCACTATTCGCAGCTTGTACTCACAAGTCTTCTGGAAGGCATTACCGCCAGTAGACCTGCCCAAGGAGATCGTGCAACAGTTTGATGGCAAAGGCATGGCAGTAGTAGGTTTTGAGATGGATCAAGTACGCAGAACCAAAGATGGCGATGTATCGGTTCCCATCACTGTGGCTTACAACCACCATTTTGAGAGCACCATGGTTGGAAAGCGCGCTGCTTTCGAGAACGCTCTCATGCAAGGTCCTGGAGACCCCCGCATTCCTCAGAAGCTGGGTTGCTGTCAAGGAACTTAAGTTAAGTTGCCAGAATGCGTGTATATATATATATATACACATGAATAGGGTGTCCCCAATATAGTAGCCCTAAACCCTAAACCCTAGAATATTATACCCCAATATAGTAACTTAGCTTAAGTTCCTTAACAGCAAGCCAGGAAGCATGGGCACGGAGCCAGCTCAGCATGGAAACCAGGGAAGCACGAATCCAAGCTGTCAAACCTGGTCGCGCTGTGTTTTTTAGTTGGTCTTAGACTTCCCTATGTCCAAGAATAATCCCTTCCTCCTAATCACCACAACGCCCGTAGAATGCCATTACATTGAGCATTTTTATGAGTAGAGGGTGGGGGGATTGATTCGTAGGGGGAGGAGGCTTCTCTGGCGTGTCAGGATGACTTTGCACCATCCTAGCACTCCCAAAACCCCTAAGCTGTAGTTTCCTTAGACCTATAATAAAATGCCATTTTTTTCATATTTCCTTGGGGTTATACTGTAATAAGAATTCAAACTAATTCCTAAGGACAGTACAGTAAGCCCGGAAGCCCTAAACCCGAAAGCCCAGGAGTGGGTTGTTCGAGAGCGGGTGCCCGGCGAACTACCATCGAGCCAGAGCTTTGGCGGCGCCAATGGAGGTGGGAAGGTTTTCAAAATTATGGGCGCCTATTTTGGGTCTTCATTGCATACTTCTTCTTGTGCTATACTGGAGCTTTTTGCTCTTTTGGCAGCCTGTTGCATTCGCGGGGATATCAACATATCAAGTTGTTTTGCGAGCTTCTGAGGGGAGAATACATGGTAGCGGTTACAGCTGTCGGAACTATACTACTAGTAATTTATCAGAGCGACGATATAGTTTTGTCAAGTTCGACCACCATACAACCTTGAACTCTTCAACCCTCATACTCATAATATCTAAAACCGGGGTATCTCTGCAATCCCCTTAAAAGGGTCCGACCCAAACCCATCAAAGGTAGTTAGCTCAGCATAGGCCCAGTTTCCCATTTTTCAAGGTTCTTTTCCATTTGACTATCCATTAAAATATAAACCCCTACATATATTTCTCTGTATTGTATGGTAGTTTCCCTAGATAGGGCGGGGGACCCCAGTAAAGACCCTAATATCTTTGAATCTTTATTACAGAAACCCCAGAAAGTGCCCCTAATTTTCCGAAAGCCTCATGACCCTCCAAACCCGAAACCCTAAACCAGGTGAATACCGCAAGAGCTTCCACGGCTACGCACCGAGCTTCGTGCAGGTACGAGTTCCTTTCACATTGCGTTTTCCTTTGAACCCTCACTGGGTTGATGTTAAGGATCACTTACTATAACAAGGAAACCCTACTGCTTATAATATGCCCATATTGCTCATTCGTATTATTGTAACCTCATTTCAGTTCCTTCACAGCAACCCGTAGGAGGTATAGGGCTAGTTTAAGGTTTTGCGGGTGCTAGAGGAATAGAAAAGCACTCCACTCTCCTCAAGCACTAGTAGTTTAAAATGCGCCTGTAAACGGCTGGGTATAGTTGCCGAGAGACCGCCGATCGCTTTTAAGCAGCAAGGTCATCGAGTCCCCAACTCAGATTCAGATCACACCGATGCAGATTGATACCTGGAATCGCGACAAGATGAACATCTCCCACCCGACACGCTTTGTACCTGGACCTGTGCCTAGGACAGCTGGCTTCTGCTGCATGTTCAGCATTCCGGCAAACCCTTGAGTAGCTCAAGGAAAGGTAGATGAGGCAAGCCACTCCTGATGTGAGAGTTTTGAACCATCACCTTTACAGTCATGGCATCCTTAAGCGGGCATGGTGGACCCATAATTAAGCCTTTTAAGACCTCCCTAAGGCCTCCCTAAGTACTCCCTAAGGTCACCAAAAGTCTCCTATTATGGGGCCCCCGTAGGGCTTCCATAATATAGATCACGTAAGGGTCACAGTCACCTGATAGTCCCCCCATATCCACAGGACCCCTTCTGCCTGCATTAGCCCATCAAGTAGAAGGTAACCTTTCAACTCCGATGGGGTTCGAGGAATAGGATGGTTCGGGTAAACTCTGTACAAACAATGGTCCCGAAACTCAAGACCAGAAGTTTAAGAGTCCTAAGACCTGCTGTATACAGGCCCCCTGAATCCTAAACACCAAGACCTACATCAAAAAAAACGAGCCCCAAACCCCTCAGCCCAAAATCCTAGACGCAAAAAGGCTCAAACCCCGAACCCTACATCCCCAACTCTGAATCCTAAACCCTAAGCCCTCAACCCCAGACCCTAAACCCTAAACCCCAAACCCTAAATCCTAAATCCCTAAACCCAAAACCCAAAAGACCAGCGTCAAGAATCATCTAAGGCTAGCCTCCGTAGAATCCTCCTAAAAAGCCCTAACCCCCCATATTAGAGGCCCATACTTCTACCCTTAGAAATCATGGCTCGGAGGAGCAGCCTGGCACCGACCTCTGGACGTGACGCGCTCTATTCCGGGCCCCTCATCTACGCGGTTTGAAGAGGTAAAAGGGGTTTAGGGTTTGGGATTTAGGGTTTAGGGTTGAGAGATTTCAGGTTCAGGGTTTAGGATTTAGGGTTTGGGATCTGGGCATAGGGGTTTAGGGTTTGGGATTCAAGGTTTTGAGTCTAGAGGTGAGAAAAAGTGTCTTACTGATGGGGTTAATTAGTAGGAAATAATGGAATATACTCCCAATAGAATGCCTATTTAATCTGCTTCCTTATTCCCTACTAACCCCCAGTAAGGTGTTGGATTGGGCTAATTTGTCCCCACCCCGTAACAACTATGTAATAATTACGACATAAATGTACACCTTATTACAGACTTGGTGGGGGCACTACCCAAGTGATGGAGGTGCAGTATATGGTCTGTTTTTGGCATCCGCTTTCGGCGGGCGTACGCTTTCGCATTTGTTTCTGATATGGTTTGTGGGCATTTTCATTTTAGGGGTTCCTTGCGAATAAACGGCGAGTGTTCTTGTGAAGTGTGCGCCGGGCGGGTTACAACCACAAATCGTTCATCACACGTGGCGTCATGTGGCTTTTGGGATGCTTTCTGCCGCTACAGGGGTATGTTTTAGGAGGACCCCCCACCCAGTAATAGTGACTATAAGGGATTATAGGGATTATATTAGGGTCCTCTTATACTCTTATTATATCACTATTACAGGGTGGGGGGTCCTCCTAAGGTATGTTCGTTCATTCCCTGCTAAGAATCAGTAAGAGTAGGGTTTGGATGCTGCAGATCAGAGAGTCGCCTGGCATTTTGAGGGCTCGTGGCCTGCATCTCCCGGTTCCAAATCAAAGTATGCAGACATGAGCTGCTTCTTAAAGGGGGTTTAGGGTTTTAGGATTTAGGATTTAGGTTAGGGTTTTAACTCCTGGGAGGGGGTAATATTGGGGATTCTATAGGGCCTTAGAGGGGGTTTAGGGTTAGGGTTTTCACTCCTTGAAGGGGTTGTATTTGGGATTATATAGGGGAGTATTATGGGTATTATTAAGGGGGACGCTGGGATTTCAGACTATAGCTGCTATAGCTCACATGCCCCATAGTGATGGAGAGTGGCACGGAAACTGGAAATGAAATGTTGATGATGCGGGCGGGGTGGGGGGCGGGGGTTCGGACAGTTTGGGGATACTAGGGCCCCCCATGGAAGTGCTTACGAGAAGAACGTCGTCTTACTCAGTTCAACTATCAAGGAAGTGCTGGTCAGGTGACAATGTCCCAAGAGAGGGGCAGGTTGGGCGATCGGAGGTTCTTGGGTGCTTACTTCCATTAAAACAATTACGAGAGGAAGGCTTTCGGAATGGAGACTTGGCGCGGGGGTTGTTTGGCATTCGTTTTGAATGCTCCGCGTCACTGTAGGAATCAGGAACCACTCCATGTAACCCCTAAGAAGCCGATCAGGTTTCTCCCACATAAACTGTGGAGCTGCAGTATATAGGATACCTCTACCATGAAAGAACGCGGCTTTGGCCATCGCCAAGCTGAATATGACAACATGGGAGTTTCTCAAAATGTCCCTACATCCATAGGGACCTCCACAGTTTCTAACCCCTACATGCCTCTGAACCCAAGGGCCCCTCACCTTAGACACTCCCACATCCTGGGCGTGAATGCAGCTGAGGCTTCTTGAATGCCCGGTCACGACGCGGATTCTGAAGCATGCGCTTTGGCATGAAGATGGCTTGGCCTTGGGGATTTGGATGGTTGTCTTGGGGGCCCTAAACCTGAAACCGGGTGGTTTTTTCAATTCTATAGGCTCGCATGTGAAGGGGGCAGACAAACGAGAGGCCTTTGTTCCAGGCTTGAGTGTCAGGCTCCGTGCAAGCAGCGCCAAGATAGCCGTATAGCATGCCTACACTGGAGCAAGCTGGAGCGAATGTAGAGGCATAAACAATTAGGACAGGGCTTTGTTGTACTGTACTATGGGATCTTAGGGAAGGATACTGGTAATTGGCTTTTCCGGCTGTTGCAGAAGCTTCCTTGCTTGAGCCTCCGTCATGTCAGGTGCCCGGTGAGGCAGTCGTCCGATTGGGCGGCAAAAAGTGTGAACGGTCCCCGGCGTCAGGTGCTTTGCCAGGATTGTCCGGATTCAGGGGGGCACGGTCTAGGGTTGAAGGTTTAGAGCTTGCGGCTTAAGGTCTAAGTTCAGGAGTTCAAGTGCTGCCAGCTTGCAAGAAATAAGTAGCAGTCAGAAAAATAGTAAATCACATCTAGCAACTGGCCCTCTGACATGTCAAACCGGTAGGAGCACTAGCCAAACGAATCATGTTGCATTGCGCATAAGACCAGAGTTTGCTGGGACATTCTAGGTAATTACCGTGGCTGTGGCCATCTTTGGGTTCAGATGGTTTTTGGGCCATGCCATGTTCAAATGTCCAGCATGCAGCACCCAAAATTGAGCTGTGGGCCGTGGAACCGAAGGCATTCGAAAGGGAACAAAGCCAAGAGCCCAGCAGCCCTAAAGCCAAAATCAAGCAGAAAATCATGGCCCCATAGCCGGTAAACCTTATTTTAGGCTTACTCAAGAATGAGCCCTAAACACTTCAGCCCCTAGCTGCCCCCCTGGGGTGCCAAATTATGCAAAGCCATTGGACTCGAAATGTTTCAAGCCCGCGAAGCCAGTTCAGGTGAAGAGTGCCTGGCTTTGGCTGAGTCGGCCCTCTTCGATGAGCCTGGGTCATTTTCTTGTACAATGATGAACAATGGAGAATCAGATGGAAAAGCAAATGGAAAATGAAATGGAAACCCTAGGTTCCTTTAAGGGGTACATAGGGATATTACCCCAATAATGGAGAATCAAATGGAAAAGAACATGGAAGATGAATGGAAGCTGGGGTTATATAGGGGTTAGAATTATGTGGCTGCGACCACGTTGATGTCTTCAATGTTCCTAACTTCCTTTCAGGAACACTGGACGCAACAGTGCCTCTATAGAATGACTATACTAGGGACCCCCTGAAATACCACACGCATGTTTCAAGTTACTACAGCGGCCTAGATAAAACCGAATCTTGTGTTTCTGGATTCCTCAGATCATCATTGTATAGGGTACGTGAGAAAGATCTTAACATGCTGTCTGACCATAATTCAAGCTGGTAATATAACCCTAATATAACCCCAATATAACCCTAATATAACCCTAATATAACCCCAATATAACCCTAATATAACCCTAATATAACCCCAATATGACCCTAATACATCATCTTCTTCCTCAAAGTCACCCCATGTGTAATCCAGGAGCGACGGCGCTTTTTGCTGGATTCCTCAGCTCCTACGGTTACTGGCTGCTTCGCCACTTTGCCTCAGCTGTGTAATGGGGCTCAAGATTTAGGAGTTGAGGGAGGTTTAAGAGGTTTGGGATTAAGGATGGGCCTTTGGGGTTTAGGGTGTCAACTTTGACTTCATAGCTCTCTCAGGGGGATGCGTGCCATGAGGATTTCCTGCATGTCTAGGAGATGATTGAATGTAATTCCTTCATTCATTGACTACTTATGCTACGACCACTGAAAGACCTTGTTAAGATGAGTGAGGCGCGCTGAGTGCGGCTACGGAGTACGAACATTACTTCCCCAACGCAGCCGCCTCTCAGGAACGATCTTCAGTTTCTTGCAGCTGCATCTTTGGAAGTCTCAATCCACTTGTGCCTGCCCATGGTGGCGGGGGGGGATTAGGTGGAAAGATGCTGGCCAACAGAGTTCAAGGTCCAGCAACGCAACATGTAGGAGTTGAGGAGGCAGGATTGCTTCGACTGCAGGACTGGCGCAGGAATTGTGAGTGTTGAGATAATCAGTTGAGATGCATTGCAAAGGTTCCTGTAGAAACCTTGCAGTTTTACATCCAGGCTCCCAAGCCACATACTCCCTCAATCGTGCAAAAGCCCTCTCTAAGTCCCAAGTGATCGAAGGCTTAGGGCTCAGGGTTCATCCTCAAGGTTTTTTCGAAGGCTGTTTGGCACGCGCTCCAAGTTTTAAAGCTCAAAGGCCTCAGCCGACTCTGAAGACCTGAACTTGGTCCGCGTTCACTTCAAGGCTGGCACTCGTGTAGGGTTCAGAGCCCGAAGAGTGTCCTGAACTGACATGGAACCCCCCAAAGGGCCTTAAAATAACAAACTCCTACTGTCCTTAGAGTAGGGGGCTTTCTGACGTTTGATCTGAGTTTGGGGAAGGGCCGGGGCAGAATGAAGGTCCTACGTACATGATAAGGTGCTGGATGAAATTCTATTTATAAATTAGTTTGGACCACTAATAATTCCCAGTCCAGAAGAGGGTTGCTTTATGAGATCCTGTTATAGCATCAGTGCAGAATTCGCAATTCCAGGCCATTGACAGGGTTCTTCTCCTTCTTCTTGTAATGATCATGCCTGCTGCTTGCTTGTTGTCTTTGGGTTCTTGCAACCTTATGCTGGTGTTGTCGGGCCTCATGTCACCTGGATATGTCTGCTAGAACCGTCAATACCATGACTTGAAAGCTGTAGCATGACTAATTGGCCAAAGTGGCCCCTGCATAATCCGTATGCTGGACCCCTATACTTGCCACCTTTTCAAGGGTACCCCATCTTGAAAAGACCTTATTCCTTGAAAGACAGGGCCCGGAGAAATTGATGGTACGGGTTCAGGAGGCACATTTCGCGTTCTGTGCGTCGTTGGTCTGTGTGCCGTCCTCATCTAGACGTGAGCAGCCCTGTGAACGAGCCCCCTCAGAAGACAGGGGGCCCTTAACTTCTGCAGTCCCTTCTCCAAAAGCGACTTAATTATTTTGAGTTTCTGACAGAAAGGCGGACCGCAGACATGGCGGGCGGTCAGCACTGGATCTGCGTCAGGACATGGCAGTGGCTATCATTTTGGTGCTACAGGGGCTGAAGGGGCTTGGGAGGGTTTATGGAATAGATGTTCGCAAGGAGAAGATTGTAGTGATCATCGGGATCCTGCGTCATCAGCTACTGATCAACTTAGGGGTTAGAAGAATGGCTACTCTTGTTGTGATCATCAAGCTGCAAGTCCAGAGCCCTTATGCCCAATTGTCATACTCATTTATCATTACTGTAACACTGTCAATTATTTCAACGACCAAAGTTAAGCCCTCCATTTCCTAGTGCGCGCGCAGGAAAAGCACAGGTGTCAGCTTACAAGACAACACTGCATGCATCTCCCGTTCACGAATCTGATCACTAACCAGAAAACAAATCCCTGCATTTCAAAACGCTGCGTATGTCCTACCAAGACCCTTACGTAGGTAAGATAATGGCCTCAACCCCTTAGCAACAGCCCGAAGGGCCATTAGCTTACATACTGTAGGGGTTCAGGCAGGTCCAAACGTTGGATCTACAACCCAGGGGCTCCATACAGCCCCCTCCCTGAAGCACGAAGCCCAAGCACTGAACTAGAAGCCACCCCGCACCGCAAAACTAGCTGAGCTGTAGTCGCAACTCCTTGGAGGGGGTTATATAGGGGATTATACACGGATATATATATATATATACATATAGAGTGGGCCATTATAGTGGTGATTGCGGGGGATACTAGGACTTGAGACTATAGCTCATCTGGTAGAACGCGAAACAGGACCTCCGCGGCAAAGCAGGTCTCTGCAACATAGCAGCAGTAAGCAAGGGCATGGGCGGATGCGTAAAACTACAGGCAAGTCGTTGGGAACGTGAAGTAGGATTTAGGGTTTAGGGTTGGTAAATGGCGTCAGCATAGGGTCTACGTAGGAGCTAAAAAGCACCTTGAACATGGTAGAGAATGATCATCAGGGCCAGAAGCTACCAAGGAATGTCATTGAGCCCTTGGCGCCCAAGAGGCCAAGTCTCACTGGCTATTAGTCGGGAATAAGGGAGTATAATTCATATATAACCCGCATACAACATGTTCCCTTATTCCCAGCTAAGCCCCACTACATACCCTATTATACTGTAGTAGTTTCCATGTTCTTTTCCACTATCCCTGTACAACCTATTCCCTTATTCCCTACTAGGCCCCAGCGAGATGAAGGTTATGGTATCCCCTACCCTACACCCTAAACTCCAAACCTAAGTCCTACGTCCCTATATAATACCTCTATAATTTATTCCCTTATTCCCTACTAAGCCAAAGGAATTTGATCAACTGCAAGGCACCGGGAGCCTAGCCTGGCCTTTAGCCACACAGCGGTTCTTACCATGAAGACTTCCTTAAAGCAGACCCAACATGCTGGGTTTTAGGGTTAGGGTCTAGGACATTCCTTTGTGGGTTAAGAAGACCAAAGAGAATTTCAATGTGTATCAGTTTTCTGTTTTCATGAGCTAAACTCCCCAACATACCTTTCTTAACCATAGGCTCCCTTACAGTACATACCCCTATGTAAGGCTCCCCATAACCCCTTGTAAGTTATAGAACGGACTGCTGTCCCAACTCAGGTGGGGCAGATGCGCAGAAGTTTGTAGGCGCCAGCAGCCCTTTGGTGAGCCTAGGATCCCTAACTAAGTAGGGGTTTTAGCGTTTAAGGGTTTAGGATTTAAGGGTTTAGGATTCAAGGGTTTAGGGTTTAAGGGTTTAGGGTTTAGGGTTTAGGATTTAAGGTTGAGGGTTAAGGATTGAATTAAGGGTTCAGGGTGTGGGGTAGGAAAAGACTCGAGATGTAGCCAGGTTATAACCTGTATCCGCCGATAGCTAGTGATATGAATAGACATTAGTATTTCATGTCATACCTACCTAACTTCTCGGAGTTGTAGGAGTAATTGCAGAGACTGTTTTGTTTAGCCTTTGGAGATTTGGTGGTTTGCTACAGGGATTGCTAGCCATATTTTTGTTGGAATGATCCGTCCCAACCCCTTTCATGTGGTGTAGGGTTTAGGGTTTAGGGTATATGGCTCTAGGATGTTGGTCAAGTCTGGTTTGGGGGATGCCTTGAACCCCAAAACCCCGAACCTTGAACCTCCAAAAAAAAAACATGAATTCCAGGTATCATGGTATCCCGGAAACTGGGTAGAGAAAAGCCCGAGGTATGACGAGATAATATCCCATACACCCTTATAACTCTCATTTTGATTGTCTTGTTTTGTCAGATGCCTACATAGCCCAGGAATGTGTCTGTGGTCTTGGATCTGACGAAGCAGCAAGCGCGCATCTCTTTGGCTGGCCCTTCCTCCGCCTGGTGACTGGGTCAGTGCTGGATGTGATTGATACCTCCATTGATTACGGAAAGGCTCCCCTTATCATATACTGCTTGTGGGAGGGGATCATATTTGAACCCAAGCTGGATGAATCCACTCTAGCGGGGGGAGACAGTGTTCACAGGAAGTGGATATGATTTGAGAGCTTTATCAGCTACCCATACGGGCCCATTTGGGACTTCATAAGCATTTTACCCATGTACTCCTCAAGGCGTACTTGTATAAGACTCTATATAATCCACATCTACATCTTTGGGGGGGGGGTTCCCTAAGAGCTCTCCTTTTTTCTGAAACCTTCATGTGAGCCACAGGTTTGGGGTCGGCTTCAATGCTGTAGCAATGGCAGACCAACCTTGGTCCCTGATTGTCGCAGCTTGGAAGCCCCTTTGGGATTTTTTCGAGGTTCGCTGTTCTGGGTTGTAAATAGTTAGGCGCCCAGAATATTCAGGATGCTCTAAGGGGCCAAAGGAAGAGGACTAAGATTTGGGCCGCTTGCGCATGATTTTCAGAAGCTCAGAGACCAATCAGGACGGGTCTGGCGCCGTCACGGAGAGAAAGCTGGGAGATCACCAGCCCGGCCAGCTGCTGAAGCCATCCATTGTGGTGGAGGAGATGAAGGTAGTAGACGGTTCTAGCAGCAATGTGCTTTGTAGCGGCTCGGTCCTTACTTAGCAGATTCAGATCGTTAGTCGAGATTCTTGGGGATCCCACCTGCCTACGAAACCCAGACATCCGCCCTCGCTATGGAGTTGTTAACTGCAGGAGTCGAAGGTTGTTGGCAACCTCAGGACGGTCACGGTGACGCGGGCACTGAAAGGACAGGAAGCTCTGACATAGCCGTCCTCATGCTTACTCTTGTCCAATCACCCGCTGAGGAGCTTCAGCAGATTATTATTCGTTCAGCCCCTTCACGGATTCTTGGCTGACATCAAGACAAGCAGTCAAAGCTGTGGGCTTGCCAACCAAAAGCACGGATCAGCAGCGCACCTGGCAGCCCAAGCAGAAGTCTCTATGTTGGGAATGGAACTTGAAAAACGAGCAGCTCTAGCATTATGACTTCTATAACTATTACCATTACTACTATTCCTACTTTTACTTTTTGTATTACTATTAGGCAGGGCCCACGCCTCCATTGGCAACCGTTGTGGGCGTCCAGCAGCTTTGCACTTCCAGGCTTCCCGCTGTATCCTCATTCTTTCTGACTAACCTTACATGGAGGTTTCCCAAAATTAGGGGACCCTTTTAAAGGTTCTTATAATAAGGACTTTATTGGGGTACCCTAATTTTGAGAAACTACCACATTCCTTCTAAAGTTGCCCTATACACCATTTCCACTACTGCCGTGGTCACAGAAATCCTCAACCCACAATTTCAACACGTAAGGATGGAAGTGGCGAGCTGAACTTCATCTGCGCAGTGGGTAGCACTCCCAACCTGCCACTCGGTGGGGTTCCATTGGGGTTTATTGGAGTTATATTGGGGCTATGTTGGGGTTCTATTGGGGTTCTGTTGGAATTATATTGGGGGTATATTAGGCTTATATTAGGGTATATTGGGATTATATTGGGGTTATATTGGAATTCCTTCTTGCCACAGGTTGTGTTGAAGCTCTTTTTTTTTGCGATTGCTGTTTGGCATGTTTTGAAGAAGAACTTTTCAGCTCAGCTTTTTAATGTTCAAAGTCGCTCCTAAGACGGAAGTGACAACCATGGCTAATTTTACCCTGGTAGAAGTAGTTTGCCCGGGTCGTACAGAACAGATTTTGAATTGCTGCATCACATGCCCGGTGACAACCCAAGTGGCCACGGATTAATTAATTAGTGCCTGTGTGACTAAGTATTACGTAGATACTTAAAATCTTGCGGCCCATGCTGCTGGAAGTCATGCAGAATTCGGTCTGTGGCTTTCAGTGCATAAGGTCCTACCACAGCCAGCGCACCCCTGGTCGTCTTAGCTTCCTTCCTCTGGGTGGCAGCGAGGGCGCCTGCATTTGCCGAGGCGAACCTGTGCCGTCCTTGGCATGCAAATTGTTGCAATTAGGATTCTGTTATATGAGCTACAGTTCGTAAAGGGGGTTATAAAGTGGATTATATCGGGTTTCCCAAAATTAGGGTAACTCTAGTATCTTGGGGTCTATATTGGAGTTCCCCCCTATTTGGGAAACTACCATATAGGGGAGTACTATGGGGGTTATTAATGGGTTGATGGAGGAGCTCAAGAGCCCTGACTCTTCACTGTCCCTTCCCGACTGCATGCTCCTCACTCATTGAAGCTCCCACACTGCGCCCTACAGACCCCGCCCCAAAGCCATGTCCAATCCTAAGCGCTAAGTGGGAATTTCCCAAAATTGGGGGGGGGGGTACCTTTATGGGGGGGTCCCCATGATAAGGGGTAGAGTAAGGCATTGGAGGCGCAGTCAAATTTCCGTGTACTTCACGTAGTCTAGGCGGTAGCTGCTGCGGAAAAATCCCCAAGATCAATAGCGGACGTTCTTTGCTAGGGTGTTGAGAAGATCCCCCAAAACATGGAGATCGATAGGGGACTCGAAACCAGGTACTTTTGACGCCGCCTCATAGGCATGAGCTGTAGAGTATAGCAGGTACAGTACTGTAAGACCTCTGGCTTAAGGGCCTGCATTGGGGCCCACCTAAACCCAAAACAGAACCCCAAATAAATCACCTCCCGGAGTTTCCATACGTTGGGAGAACGTTTGTGTAGACCCCCCCAAATACTGCAATCCTTATTCTGGACACTCCCAAACAGGGACCCCCAACTTTTTAACACAGCCATATCCCTAAACCCCAAACCCTCAGCCCAAATTTTTTCAAGCTGCCAGAATATTGCCCTGAACCTCCCCAGAGCACAGGTTCGGGCAAGCCAAGGGCACCTTGGAATATCGGCCCACTGCGCAGCCGGAGGACCAGGGCACTGGCAGTGTAGGCTTCAACAACCGCTGTGCAGCACAGCCCAGGCCACACGGGTTGCCTGAAGACTTGAAGGAATGGTTAATGGAAAAGACAGTGGAAACTACTAATCATGATGAGTTATATAGGGGTTATATAGGGGTATGTAGGGCTTTATGGGGGTTATATAGAGATAATGGAAAAGAAAACGGAAACTGCCAGTATATAGCGGTAATATAGGGGTGATTTAGGGATAAAGCAAAAGAAAATGGAAAGGCGTTAGGAGGCTTGAATTCTGCAGGGGTTCAGGGGTTTAGTCGGATTTAGGGCCAAGGGGTTTCAGGGGCTAGGGTTCATGGGGCGGGGCTTAAGGGTCTAGTGTTTAGGATTTCGGCTAGGGTTCCTTCCTTTATGCTGACATAGATAGTCCTCAACTTACTGTTGCCGGCAATACTCGAGAGTTGCTCTTCACAACTTCGGCTTAGAACCACAAGCCTCCACCTGAGCTTGACTCAAAGTCGGACAACCCTGCAGACACTAGAGTTATCTTCATGAAGGCGCTTAAGTTAAGACTGGGATGAGGACCTTGATATCTCCCCGCATGAACCCTAAACCCCAAGCCTGACATGGCATTCTGGATTGTATTCGGGCCGGCGGAAAAGGGTCCGAGAACAGCAGAAGTAAACCCTGAACCCTACACCCTATGCTATAATACTATACTGTAGTAGAGCCCAAAGCATCTGCTGCTGAATCTTGTTTCCATTGCCAGGAGCGACCTGCTAGCCATGCAGAACCCCACATGTGACCTCCGACGCTGGGTTTCGAGTTAGGGTTTAGGGGTCAGAGTTTGCGGTTGTTAGGTCAATTCAGGATTGGAGCTGCCTGTCGTTTCTGATAGTTGAACCAGCCGCAGTGCAAAGGTCCATGCCGCATTTCCCAGAATTTAACTAGCATGATTACTGAGTCAACTCGACCCTGACTTCAAACCCCTGAACCATCGATCTGCTCCTAAATCCTGAGCCTCAGGGTTTAGGGGTTCGGTTTAGGGTCCCAAGTACAAGAAGGCAACCAAAAGAAATTACTCCTCAGGTAACTACTCTGGAGGGCAGCTGGCTTGCCATCACATGTGGTCCTTGCTGGATGCTGATCAGGCTTGCAGTGGATGGAATTTATAGTTTGCTGGGCTTAGGGCTCAGGTTGTAGAGTTCAGGTTTAGGAAGTAGAGTTTAGGATCAGCGCAGGTAGAGCTTTCGGTGAAACATGTGAGTAGGTTGGTGACTGCACAAGCATTTCGGGGACTTTCGCATGTGTGTATGGGTGTCCGTTTGAAATTAGATCCGTGTAACGGCTACGTAGTCTGATTGGAATCTCTCTGGTCTTTGGGTTCCGCTTATGTCGCTGTGCGAGCCAGCAATTAACTACTTCAAGGCCAGCACGTGAGGAACATCAAGCACTTGACGACATACCATTGATTTTGATGCACGGTTATCCAGCCCCATCATGCCTAGATAGGGGCAGCGCGGTCCTCTCTCTAGGGAGTAATTATGGTACTTTCGTCATGCTTCTGGCTTATATAGCCTAAACCTCAAAGCTCAGACCATAAGCCTGGCCTTTCTTGCCGCTGGATGAGGCCATCCCATGGCCAGATCAGCCCCTGGAGTATTCCCTGAAGTTCCGCTTCTGGGTCGAGGACCGCATCAGACTTTTTCTTACCTCCGTCTTGCAAAGAATGAAGGATTGGATCCTTACAGTAGCCTTTATAACCCCATATAATCCCCCATAAAATGTTGTCGGTTTCCAGTTTCTCTTCTATTCCTTCCTTCTTTGCTAACCAGAGGTAAGTTGCACGGCTTTGGGTTGTCCCACATTTTCGGACACCGGTCTCCGAGCGAAGAGCTTTGAATGAAAGACCAAAAGGTTGCCAAGTCAGAGAAGGCCTGAAGGGGCTTTTCAGGGATCTGGGGTTACAATAGGAATATAAGAGGACCCTAATATGATCACTATGATCCTTTATAATCATGATAGTGCCCATAAGGGAGAATAAGGATCATATTAGGAGGAAATTTCTCAAGATATTCCTGCCCCCATAATCTCCTTACATTATTTGAGACGGTCCCTTGGGGCGCCCTATTTTGAGATACTCCAGGACTACAACAAGTCCTACCACACCAGCCTACGAAGAGACGCAGGGCCGCAAGGAAGTGCTGCAAATGGCGTAGTAGCGTCGTATATTGGGCCCTTCACGAGCGGGTGATAAGGTTATATATAGGGGTTATAAAGATGCAGTGGAGCACAGGGCTTCAAGATCAAGAAAGGTTGCAGAGTTTTATGGTGTGAGGGCTTAGGGTTTGGCAGTTAGGGTTTAGGTTTTCGGCTTTCTATGTTGGTTCAGGGTAGACAGAAGGTCCCTACGCCATATCTAGAAGAATCAGAATCTCCAGCTAAGTGTCTAAGCACCTTCAGCTTCAGAAGCAGAGAAGATCCAAGGAAGCAAAGGCCTGTGATCCGAGACATTCTGTGCACTTGAGGAGAACGATACATATATCAACAGATTCATATTGGAATCCAATTTTGGGTGTATTTTTTTTGTGTGTGTGTGTTGTTGGTGTAGTTTCTTTTTAAGGTTATGCCTCTTGTTTGTTGCTCACTGCTCCTTTCTCTGGTCTTAGTTGCTGTTTTTGCTTTGTGCTTTTTGCGTTCGGCATTCTGCCTTACTCCCTCTTTTTTAAGATGTTGTTTTTGTCTTTTTGTTGTCTGCTTCCTGCTCGCTGTCTGTTTCTTACTTTCTGACTTTGCTTCCTGATTTTTGCTTCCTGCGTTCTGCTCTCTGGTTTTGCTCTTTGCCTTTTGCTCTCTGCTTGTCGCTTTCTGCGTTTCGCTTTGTAGGTTTTGCTAATGCCAATCTAAAGCCGTGACAAGGTTCGCAGCCTGGCAAAGCGACAGTGAATCTCTGTGCTGACCAAAAACTGTAGCTGACCTTGCTTAACCACCGAAAGCAGGAATTTCTGTATCACCCAGACTATCCGACCCCTGTAATCTCCTGCCGTTTCTTAAGTCTTCCTGGGAACCCCCTAACCAACATGCTTGGTGAGCAAGGTCACTTGGGGCATTGCATCCCCTGTGGAGCACCCTGGAATTGCGCTTATTCGGTTTTGCGTTGCCCTACATCTTTATCGTTCCTGCATGTTACAATGTTTTCCGGTCCTTGTGTGACAAAGCGCTTAGCACACCTCTTAATGTAATAAGGGCACAAATCATATGAGAAACAGTTCAAGTCGTAAAACCATCCATATTCATACTAGGGAAAAGGAATAAACCACGGGCTTAGCTTCTAAGACCCCTCAACCATCCTGGGAGGTATGATGTGCCCAAATGCGCAGAGGGTGTCATGGGATGCTCCAAAGACGATCGAGGAAACTGGCGCCTTGGCACTCTTCTGTAGGGCTTAGCTGTTCAGGTTTAGGTCCCTGTATCCTTAAGCCTGAAGCGTATGAGGGGGCGAAGTCACTTGTCCGCAAGCGCTTCAAGGGAGCGTCAATCAAGACCGGCTGCAGGCTCCCGACTATGTTTCCACACCCCGTGCTCCTGAATCTTTACGTCGAGCTGTCCCGCACGAGCAATATTTCAGATGGGTATACCATAGTCCGGCTTACGGAAGTAGATGTTATCCTTTTTTGGGTACATCCTTAGGGCCTTTTGTAGATATATAAATATAGACTGGGATCATCCTACTTGGCTCAACCACCGAAGGACCGTTTTCAATTGAGCATGTTGGTCTCTCGGCTTCCGGATTCGGGCATTCAGAGTTTAGGGCTTCCGGCATGTCATGATGTGTCAGGTTTCACACTGCTTCGGCCAGCGAATACCTACCCTTCGGCCCTAACTCTTCCGGACTTAAGTCAGGCAAATGTGAAGTAGGGCATGTTGAGATGTCCGTCTTCGAATCCTGCTGGGATCCTACAGCTCACTCACCCAAAACCTTAAAATGTCCGGCACTATCCATGACCCTGAACCCCAAGGCTTCATACCAATCCTTCAGTCACCCGGTTACATCCTAGTCTCCAAGAAACTTAGCCATCTCTTAAGATTCAGAAGCCACACTCTGAAGCCCCAAGCCCTTTGGACCCTAAACCCTAAACCCTAAACCCTACCCCCAAAAAAATTCAGGACTCACACCCTCAGGCGTCCCAGAGCTTAAAACCCACAAAAGTAGTATTTAATTTGGGGATACTATGGTACCCAATATAGAGTAAGATTATATCTTCCTTTTGGGGTTTACTATGTCATATGAGGAATAGTATCTTAAAAGGTTCAACCACCAAAAAAACACTACTCACAAGAAGCTCAGGATTCACACCATCAAGGGCACCTTTACAGGTGGGGGTAGCCTTTCAGCCGCACACTTCCACTGTCACGCGCCTACCTGCTCCTGGACTCGTTTTGTTACTTTTTGGTTCTTTACCTAAACCCTAGAAGTATGTAAAATAATGGCCTTTATGGCTGTTATTATGGGTTTAGGGCTATTATTTACATACTTTTGGGGTTTAGGTAGCTTTGACTTCAGTATTACGGTGGCGTAGATTTGGGGCGTCTAGGGCTTTGTAATTGTGAGGCTCAGCGTTGTGTGGGGTATAGGGCTTGGGGCAGGGGGCAGAGCTAGGGGTTCGGGATCGTTCTCCAGGCATGATTGCAGGATCGTTTGATAAACATGTTTGATAATCTTATATTTCATATGCACACACGGCGGCAAATATGCTTTGCCAGACATATCGAAGCCCAATCTTGACACTGAATCTGGGGGAAATATGAACCCTAAACCTGAAACTCCTAAACCTTGAAGCCCAAGTAGTCAGGCTTCTCCCTAAACCCTAAACCCTAAACCCTTCTTCTTTTCCTGGATTTTTGTCAGGAAACCTCGGCTGACCATCTGCATCTGCAATGAGTTGCAAAACCACGCCCCAAAGCCCGAAGGTTAATGTCCATTGTAATACTGCCTTACTCCTGGTATGCCCCCCTCCCCTCCCCAAGCTCAGTTTTGAAGCATAGCCACAACCCCAAAAATGTACTTAGCCGAAGTTCACAACACAAAAGCCCAAGGGCAAAACTGACAGCAGAAAAATCTTGAACTCTGAGTTGGCAAAGGGAAACCTTGTACCTACCTAGTTGGGAATGGGAGAATGGATGTTGTAGCTGTTTGTCGTATGACCCCGTCGATGGTCCCTACAATCCATGCCCCATCCCCAGCTAAGCAAAAAGAAGGAGAGCTTCGAATTAATAAAAAGGCTTGTCCATGGCGCTCTACCGCTGCCCGAAGGAGACCAAGGTCTGAAGAAGGGAGTTTTCAAAGCGGAGGGTCGCTTTCAGAGGTCCAGAGTTGGAAAGGAGATGATGGGAGTGCCTCTAATGTTTTTTTTGAGACTCTAGAGAAATTTCGCCCATTGAGTATCATGGAATCTTGTATATATGGGTTTGGGAGTTTGGACTTAGGTTTCAGCATTCAGGGGTTAAGGGGTTCAGGGGTCACGGATGAGGTTTCAAGGTTTCGGGGGTTGGTCTTGGGAACGGACTTCATTGCAGGTAGAGGTCAGGTTTTTTGATTCCCGGTGTGTGGAGGGTTTTCCTGGCTTTTTAGCCTTGACTCCTATTGTCATTGTCGCCTCATCATCCAACAAAAAGCTGCATGAGATGTTCCCCAACTTGGAAACAAAGGTGGCTCAAATGCTGGTCTGGGAATTAATCAGGGGAGGACCACTGTTTTAGAAGTATCCATGTCCCATAGCAGACGCAAACCATTCCGTTCCAGTTTCACTTGCTCAGCTTCGCTTGCTCTTCTTCAACTTTGCTTGAGCCACGGGCTGGATGTGGGCCTTGCTCCCCAAATTTGGGCCGATGCCTTTGGAGCCTGGTTTTGGAAAACTTGGAAGTTGCTGAGATGCTGCACCATCTGCCAAATCCACGAAAGTCCCAATTGTCATCCACCCTTCCCTGAATGTTAAGCCGCCCCTTCACACTAGCCGCGTTTGTATGAGGGAAGTAGGCGGAGCGGCGAAAGGATCTCATCTCTCAAGCCTAGAGCCTTCGGGTCTTCATGGGAGCCTAACAGCAACCAAGATCTTTCTGCTAGAGCAACTGCATTCCTGCGACGCATCTTGATGTAGCGTCTCCTCAAGCACGACTACCTTCTAAACGTCCAGCCCTTGAATGCCTGAATTCTAAAGCTTTTCGCGATGGGAGGTTTGTGACCAAAGCACTGGGGAACTCCTATGCATGGAGCGACCTGTGTATGGCAATGGCAGCTCCAGCGATCGGTTTGCGGAGTCCCGCAGCCAAGATTTGGGCTCTTTGGGGAGTAGGGATATGGTAGTTACCCTAAATAGAAACCCCGCTATAGACCGAAAAAAGCTATAGCCCTTATTATGGGGACCGCCAGGAGGGTACCCTTAACTTAGGGAAACCCTCACAAAAGGGTTGATGGAAGAGAGCTTCGGGATGAGGGATGTGGGTGTAGGTCATAGAGATCAGGGTTTAGGGTCTAGATGAGGCTTCAAGCTTGCGGGATTGGGGTCAGGGACAGGGTCATTGGAAACCTGAAGAGAGTGGATTCCAGGATTTAGGGATCTGCAGGAGTAATTCGGCAGATTTCTTGCTTCATCACGAGAAGTCTCGGCTGATTAGGGTTCGCAACATAGCAACATAGCTTTGACAAGGATGATGCGGGGCGTTCTTGACTTCAGGATTAAGGTTGCAGATCGTGAAAGGGGGTGCCTTAAGCATATAATCCACCACATGCCCCTTATTGATGAGTGCGGGACGAGATTCTTGGCACCTCCGCTAGTAGGAACTCTTGCTTCTCCAGAAGCTGTATATTTGCCTCCGAACAACAGTTTCATGACGTCATTGTGCCTGCACGGAAATCTTCAGGAGTTGTGAAGTAGGCATCCCATGAGTATCCCGCCAGCAGCATGAAAACCACAACCCTTCATCCAGCACCTGAAGAGAAGGGATTATCTGCTGCTCGGTTGGCGGTCCTTGTCCTGTTGAGGAATGCAGTAGGAATGCAGTATGGCAGAGGACTGCGGGTTTCGAAGCTACTTAGCTACTTCAAAGCCATGTCATCAACCTTGTTTGATCTTATCCGGCAATCCCAAAAACCCCCTGCCTCAAGCCGTGAACCGAAAGCCTGCATCCCCAAGCAGCAAGCCACAATCCCTTAACCCCAAGGGTCAAAAACAGCCCAGACAGCAATGATCTAGAGCTTAAAACCGACTATAAGCCTAAAAAGACTGAAACCCGAATTTTTCAGGCTTGGCTACATCCTGCAGCCTCCGTGCCTTTGGGGCAGCGAAGAGTTCGGCCTTGAGCCACCTCCCAGCGTCGAAGGCGCTCTATGCGTTCGAGCAGCTCAGGGCTCAGGGTTAAGGATTTCGAGCATTGGTTCGTGGACTTTCGGGTTTGGAATTTCCGCTTTTTTGTGTGGGCGTGTGTGCAAAACATTTCGGGGGGTACAAAACAAACTCTTTTTGCCTTGATGTTTTCTGCGGGAGAGGTGGGGGTGCTCCACCGGCTTTGTGTTGGCTGACGATGGTGTTTCTAAATAGCTTTCTCGGTGACACTCGCAAGAAAAATGTGATGACAGCGAGCGGTAATGTACCAAGTACCTGTTCAGGCAGCTGGAGCAGCAACGTAGTGATGATAGTAGTACCGCGAGAAAGTAGCAGCTTCAGTGTCGAAATCGCTGCTGCGGTGGTAGTAGGAACCCCTATATATAGCTATACATCCCTATCTATATACCCCTATATAGTTCCTGGAGGAGGGAAGTGTCAACACGCTCAACTCCACGCCTCAGAAGCTGAGAAGTCAGCTTGTATGTTCCTGGGTACGTAGGGATACCCTTCTGGGGGTTCCCATTATAAGGAGCATAGCATTTTGGGGTCTATGTTGGGATTCCCCCGATTTACGGAAACAAACTACCATATGTAATCATATCCCAACATACAGGTTTATCCTTTCAGGTTGAGGTAGCTAAGCCCGTAGATCGCTGGGCCAGATCCCTGAGCCCCAGTTTAAACAAATAGTCGGCTTTTGACAGAGAATGCGAGCAAGTAGCGGGAACTCCGATAAACAGCAGTTGGATTCTGTTTTCAGATAACCTGATAGCTCTACTAGGGAGTTTGACGTGGTTTTCACCCAAAGACCGCTTGTGCCTGTTGTCCCTTCTCCTTGCACGATGCTTGCCATTCAGAGGTGACGTGACAACGAAGCAACCAAGGCCTCATCCACATTCTAAGCTTATCAGGAACGGGTCCCACCTTCTAGGCCTCACCTTTACATGGTGGCTACTGCAAAGCTTGCGATGCTACCGGCCACGTCTACCGAGTCGTTATAGTGCTGTCGTCTTAGCTACCTGAAGATGAGCTTGAATGCATGCAACATTCATACAGTAGATGTGCTGGCTGCCACCTCTATGCGGACATGTCCAGACTACTGGGTGCCTCGTTTAGAAAGGATACCTGATGATCAGATGCAGGCTCCAAAGCGGGTACTGGGAGAAAATGCGCCTTGCGCGCGATGTGTCAAAATCCACCACTTTGTGGCATCAGTTGTTTACATGACTTTGTCTTCTGTTTGTACCTCATGCGTTGAAGTGTCCTTCTGCTCGTTTGATAGTTATCTGGACACAAACCCAAAAGCTGCGCACCTAAACCACCAGATTACAACCTTTAGTTGAAGGGGCTCATGTCTGGATTATGTCGGGCCTACAACTGAATGAGCTTGTGCCGTATATATCAAGGTTTTTGTGGAGCACCTTGAATGTACCACATGATCGCCAGCTAGAGTAAAACCCTAAACCTAAACCCCAAGAGTGTTGTGTCGAATGTTTGGTGGAAGAGGTCCCTGAAGTGTTTATTAGACATGCGAGTGGAGCACAATCAATAGTTTGCGGCCTTACGCCGCAAATCCCATGCTTTCTAGAAAGGTTGAGATCCTTAATTATTTGAACCCCCCACCCCCAAAAAGATTATATACTCCAAGTACATTATTAGCCTTACGTAACAAGGAAATGTTTTTTTTTTACATGAGGGATCGGAGGATTACTACTGGAGAGGGGATTCCATGAAGTTCTAAAGCCCAACTCAGGTTGTATCTGAAAACCGTAAACCCTAAACCCTAAACCTCTATTCAGGGTTTAGGGTTTAGGGCCTGTCCTGAAAGCTTGCTCACAGACCCTTAGATCTGTGCAGGCTTCGTCTTGGGCGCGATCAAGACATCAAACGCTACGCACCCGTGCCTGCAGATGATCTGTTTACAGGCACCTACATGGATATTGTAGTAAAATCTAATTATCATGTTTGGGCAGCCTGGTTTGGTTCTGAATCTGCATGGTCTGTGATTCAGTCTGTCAGGTATATGCTCTGTCAAGATCTCCTTTAAGTATCGCGAATATTCCAAGGCGGGGGAGGAGTAGCAGCAGTGATGCCCCGAAAGAGCGTAAGGCTTTCTCCTCCAGTCGGTATGAAGGTTTTTTTTTTAACCCTCGCCTAAGGTACGGCCACCACGGCGAGATGGCTTGGCATCAGATGTATGTCTTCGACGCGCCAACAGACACCGAACTGGTGTGAGCCGTGTCGACTGCTTGCTGTAGCTTTGTATCGTATAGTATATGCGCATGATTCATCCATAAGATGTTTCTGGTAAACGTCATGGGATTTGGCAGCTGCGGCTGCATTTGAGGCGGTCGGTTCGATGGCAGGACCCTTGCTCTGCCTAAGCCATGGCTCATAAGCTTCATGGTTGCAACAGAAATCACTGTCGTCTCCACTTCTTTACTACACTTCGTATGACTACGGATGGCTGTTCTTGCTGCTTCCGCTGGTTGGTGCGACCCTGTGAAGATTGTGCACAGCCACTATTGCCAATTTTGGCAGTCTGTGGCTATTTATTTGCCATCAAGCAAATTCTTGCCCCTAAACCCGAAACAGTAATTAGTTTCCATTTTCTTTTTCCATTATCCGTATATAAACCTATATCATAAACCCTAATGGGGGGTCAATATCATACTTGGCCTAACTGTTTGTAGAATCTGCTTGTGGCTGGGGAATCTCCCGCCTATGAAGCCGGCTCGGCTAGACTTTTTGGGTCAGCAGTGCCGAGACTGTACAGCTTACTCTTTAAAAACGGATTTGCGAAGACGGATGTACGAAATTCTATGCGTGCTTTTTGCGATGAACTTTCGCTTGCATTCCTGAGATTTGGACTGATTGAGGAGTGAGGGTGTATGGGATTGAGGATTTAAGGTATCGGTGTTCGGGTGGATTCGGGAGCGCAACGCCATTTTCTTGCTGCAATGCTAAGCAACGTCCTGGGACATTTGTGTGTAGAGCCGACGTGCTGGCGCCGCTTCATGAAAGTGTTATACACACATGGGATACTATAAGCAACAGCAGCACGTGCCCTGCGTGCGAGCAACACGTGTCGACCTCTTTGTTAGCCGACGTGGTATACAGCTTGTACAGCGTACAGTCTGTACGACGTGCTGACAAATCAGATTCTGGAAGGAGAGCATTTAGGAGAATGATACTTAAGGATCATATTGCTGCCCTGCCGCCCAAGGACAGCCGAAAACGCACAAGAGATGCAAACCCGTAGTTGTGCATTTGCTGCGTTTTTGGTCTTAACCGGTTTGACCTTTGGTGGCCCCACTAAGGCAGACCCCACGTGTTCACCATGTGTACTGCCTAACGCCCGAATTGTGGAGCGGCAAAGCTTCGCCGACCCTAAACCTTGAGCCAGAGCTAGTTGCTCTAGTGAACAGCACAAGGAGAATACGTTGGCAACTAAAAGAGGAATGTTTTGGAGGCGAGTGCAGACCCTTTGCACTGCACAAGGTTTTCGTTGAAGTCTTACCAGCACCGACTATGCTATGCTGTCTGGCTTGAGGGTTGAAGCTATATCCCAGGCTTCCAAACCACCAATTTAACGAGGTCGTTCAAGTAAAGACATCATTTCATTGAAGCCACCTATTTTACTTATGTTACGTTGGGATGCATTATATGGCATATCGGGCTCCTAAACTTGTGTTGGGGGTTGATAAGCCTCCATAGTAGCATTCAGGGTTCAACACAGAAAAGCAGAGACCTGCCGGCAGCCGCTGGAGCAGAGCACAAGCAACGGCTGCATCGCTGATGATCAAGTATGCCCCCAGCCCTTTTTTCTACTTTCTTGACGCTGCGCTCTGTTCAGGGCTTGTAAACAGTAGCGACGACGCATTGACGCCAGCCCATACCTCGCATACTTGATCACTGATCTCTCGAACTTTTTCTCGTCATACTGCTGAGCCACGCCTTAAACACAGAGGGCTTTATCATGGCCGTGCAAACGCAATAAGGATTTTGATAAGGCGCATCTAGCCACCGCGCAGCGTCTTCTTCGCTAAATAGGGGATGGTGTTTGTTATTAATTCTTGGTATTCTGCGTTGGGCTCTTGCAAGATTATCATAAAGGAATGATCGAGCCCATCTGTAAGCATCCAAAATTCTTGGAATCTCCAAAATGGCGGAATATCTGAATGACGCTAAATTCGGAATTTGAAATTCATTAGATATTCTTGGCTGAAATTTATAGGATATGATTTTGATTATTCTAATATTATAGAATTCTTCTAAGATGACGTGGATATTTCGTTCGCACACGGCGTAGATTTGTTGGGTTCGATTAAGGCATTTCTCGCGAGTTTCATAAAGATTCTAAAATCTTAGAGATTTTATTGCTATTTGGGAAAAACTAGAGATTCTAAAATCTCCGCGATTGGCGCGAATACAAATCGTTCCGCCCTTCTTTGCGGAACGATTTTTTATTTTTCTTTTGTCTTTGGCTATCTGCAAGGCGATTTGGAAGCCTTGTATTGGAAATTGGAGGTATTACTTGAAAATTAATATTATGATATCGAAAACGTTATTATATGAAGCTAAGGATCATTGATATATCTATCATTAGATTCTGGAAATAGGCTTCTCTTCTAGTAGTAGGGCAGATATTTAAATAAAGGATCTGAATATAGAACTAATGAAACGATAATTTGAAAAATATTTGGAGATTAGATTTTAGAATCTCGAAAATCGTACGTATTTTCTATGCTGATAGATTTGATGAAGGCGATGATTCTTATTTCCAATCGTAATGCAGCTATCAAAGAGCAATCTATGACGATTTGAAGCTGAAAAAGAGGGATAACAAGATGCTTCTAATAGAGAGACCATTTCGAATTTATATTAGGATTTTGAATTTCTAATTAGCATTATCCAAATATTAATCTCTAATGAAATGATCCTTATAAAGATCCGAAATCTAGGAAGAATACGAAGAACTAAGGTTGATTGGAATGAGATAGCTGGATTCTTGGATTGATCTATCTTATCAAATCTTCTTATTGATATGAACAGAATTTCAATGATAAATATATCTAATAAAAGAGAGAAAGAATTTAATAAGATATTCTCAAGGATAGAGCAAGACTATTATTGGATTTGCACTTAGCTACAGCATTGAGGGAATGACATATATTAGCTAATAGATTTAGTAGTGGAATATCCTAGCCATTAGCAGAAAACTTGGATTCAAGAAAATCAGTTGATAAATAGATTCTGGAAGGCCTGGCGCGGAATGGGAGTTTGGCAGAAGAAATTAGGTTTCTCTAAATCTCATCAAATCTCTCCTCCCTCCCCGGATAATATTTTAGGGCGAAGACTTGCAGACAGAAAGAATTAGATCAGCATTATTATATATATCTTGTTCGCAATAGATTTGCTCCTATCTAAATCTTGATATCATAATTTCAAATCTTCTGACTTCGCCAGATCATAATAATATTCAGATATTAAATTAGATGAGCAAGCTTAGCAATTTACAACTTTATAATTATGATATATATGTAGAATGCAAATATCTCAATGCGCCCAATTTGAATATGAGATATCATAGATTTCAAAAAATTGCTCCAAGATTTTGGATTGGGATTCAATAATCGTAGAAGAAAGATAAGATTGCCGCAATCTAATTGCCATGATTTTGATTCTCAGAAGGATTTAGTATTTGAAGATTTAAAAATTAGGATTTAGGAGGAGGAATCTAGGATTGAGGAAAAATGATTCAAAATGATTATTTTCTAATAGAGAGAATTATCTTCAAATATCTAGGGAAAAAGATTTAGGATTCATTTTCGAATCTGATTTAGAATTTAGGATTTCGGCGAAAAATATAGATCCGGCACGGAGAACTAAAATCTTTGAGAATTTATAGGCGGATCGCGTCTATCTATAGGATTTTATGAATTTCTCCGAGTTGTTGCATAGATACACTTAGAGAAATTATTGAAATAGAAAAATTGGTTCGAATACGGGAAGCCGTAAGACCAAAAATCTATCCGAGATTTCGAATTATTTCTCCTTCTTCTTTTAATTATTCCAGCGCGGATTCGGGAGAATATATAGATTCGAAATAGAAATCCAAAATCTAGGGAAATTAATGCGGAAAGATCGAATAGGATACGAGAATTGCCCGATTAAAAAATTTTCGAGATTTCAGCGGAATATATAGATCTGGATCGTAGATCTAGAATTTTGCAATATCTAAAGATTATTCGTTATTATCATATGCAATCTTATATATTAATGAATATATGGCGCTTTCTATGCGAATTTATTTATCATTTATTTGTTGGATTTCTCGAAATAGAGATTCTTAAATAAATATTCTTCGTTGATATTGCAAATAGATTAATTCTATGAAATTATAAATAGATCTTTGATATGCTCTATTATATAATAGAAATGATATAAAAATCATTTGAATATTAGATTTTCATCGGATAAGAATTGAATGATTTACAAAGAAAATAATATTGATTACGGATATATTATCGGAACCTCATCTTTTTTTTTAAGATAATATATTTTCTATTGATTGATCTTCTAATAAGAATTTAGAAAGAATATATTCATATAGATTTTTTCTTCATAGATTAAATCTTAATATCAAAATCTTTTCTTATTATTAAAATTCTAATGAATTCTAGATAGATCATTGGAGATATTATATAAATCTGATAAATTCTTAAAAAAATTGCTAGAAAAATTTTCGATGAAGACAATAAGGGAATCTTTGGAGATATCAGATTTCTAGAAATAATGATCTGACGGAAATATTATAGAGATTCTATAATAGATTTTAAGAAGATTAATTGAGAAATGATGATTTCTGAGACGAATCTTCTATAATTCTTTGAAGAATCCCCTCTATATAATTCTAAAATCATTTCTATCTTTATAAATGAATCGATATCCAATAGATATTCAGAAACGAAATCTCTTTCACGGAAAGATTAGGAAATCAATTCAAATGATAATATATATAGAAGAGGCCCTTACGAATATTATCTCGGATAATCTTTCATATTTTTCGCGGACGGAAATTTCCTCATTTATATTCAATTTATAGTTTTTTCTATAATTATTCAATTTCAACTCTTAGGAATCATAAGAATATCCTCCTAATATTGATCGATCTCATGATATTAAAAATGATCAAATTATAGATTCTGAAAGATTTTAGATCTCCTTCGGAT